AATAAGGAGAAACTGAAATATTTAAATAAAATGCAATGTGATGTGTCATGTAGGGGATTTCTGGGAAAATATTATTATTATAATTTTTTTTTCTTTCTTTTCATTTTTTATTAATGTGACTATTTAAAAAAAAAAACATGCAATTATTTGTATTAATTCAACTTAACAGTTAAATCTAGATTCCCCCCATGTTTAATAAGATAATTTACAACTAATTAACCAAGTTTTATTGTCACAGTTTTGCTTTTTTCTGTTAAAATAACAAAATATATAAGAGAATATTAAGGCCAGATTTATCAAACTCAGTTCTGAGAAAAGATGTTAGCTATGTAGTGGCATTTAGTCTGGCAAAAAGAAGAAAGCTAGAAAGGCCGATTTATGCATTGTTTTTTGTTTGCATGTTACTTCTTGGGTCAATTTTATGCTTGATGCCTTCAGACTTTCTCTGCTAAGACATGCCATTCTCATATGCCACCTCTTTCTTCAACAAATGTGAAATATTCATTTGACAAGGTTAAAAGGAAGGGAAAACATTTGCATTTGACTAAGAGATATGAGATCATTAACATTTCTCAGTTACATCTAAACATCATAAAAACCAACATCCCCTTTTACAAGCCAAAGGCCCAGCAGGAGCGCTTTACAGCCCAAAAAGGACCTGACAAACCCCTAAAGCATTCACAAGTAATTGGAATGTGGACTGGTGTGTATGTGGAAAAAACACTCCCAGACAGACAGGACAGCGCTCTCTATCAGCACCTCAGAGCTTAACTGGGGGTTGTGCTATAGTCCCTAAATGTCACATGTGAGTTTTTAAGGGGCCTGAGTCTGTGTGGACCCATATGAGTGGGTGGACATGGGCTTTGGGTAGTCCCTGGTGAGCACCTAACCCCCCTTCTTTCTCTTTTCCCACTGTTCATGTGAAAGTGACCCTGGGAACTGGGGTCCCCAGGGGCTTGGGGAGGGGAGCAAGTGATTCAGGGGACAGGCCAAAGCACCAAGGCCGCCACAGGGTCATGTGAAAGCACTCTGCTGTGATGGCTGCCAGACTTTTGACTCCTCACAAAATAAATAATGCACTTCCTTTCCCTCCCTCACTGTCTCCATCTCAATACCCCATCCCTCTATCTAATCTGTCCATCTGTCCATCAACACACATGTGATGTTCATCCATCCAGAATAAGACTTACAGTATAATGTAGATTGGAATATAAGACTTTGAGAGTTACAGGATTTACAGGCGGCACTGGCAACAATACGGTAAACAAATTTGCATACAAATGAAAGGTTTCACAGCTAATGAGGAACTGTTGGTGCTCATTTGAACCTTTTCCAATTTAGGGCTACAATAAATACTATGAATTGTATTGTATATTATGAGTAAATAATACAAAATAATACAATAACAAATAATGCAATACAATATACAGTGCATATATATATATATATATATATATATATAATATTTAAATATAATAATATAAAAATATTATAATAATAATTCAAATTATTGGAACATTTTTACAAATTATTTTATAAAAAAAATAAAATAAATGTTACAATAATTTTTAATACATTTTTTTTTAAAGATTTGAAACACCACACAAACTAGCCAATATACAGTGTATATATATATATATATATATATATATATATATATATATAATATTTAAATATAATAATATAAAAATATTATAATAATAATTCAAATTATTGGAACATTTTTACAAATTATTTTATAAAAAAAATAAAATAAATGTTACAATAATTTTTAATACATTTTTTTTTAAAGATTTGAAACACCACACAAACTAGCTAATAGATGGTTAATAGAGATATTGGTTTGAAATCACACAACAGTTGTAAACATTATGTCAAAATCTATTGTTTATGTTGAATGCAGCCAGATTGAGTGTGCTCAAAGTCTGTCATCAAAAATCTAAAAGTTATACCAAGATGGGCCATAACTGTTCTTTTTAAGCTATTGGTGCAAACTTTCAGTCCTTCTGCAATGTGTTCAAGGGCTAGATTATCATGTCTTTTACTTTATATGGGCATGCTAAGATTCAGCTCGAATGTGTTGGAATGTGTGTGTGTGCGTGTGAAAGACTCAGAGTATGTTTCAGTAGGTCACCAGAGTGGCATCCCTGGACTAGGAAAGTTAAACGCTGACCCCAAGCCTAACAACAGCTGGCCACATCTGCTGGCTCTCCTCCTCCTCCGCTCCCCCCCTGCATCTGATATTTGCAACTTTCCAGAAACAAAGGATGGGAGGAACGGAGGAGAGAGTGTGGGGGATGGAGGTCTGCCCCTCATTTCTCTCGCTCTAACAATTTCATTAGACACTGCTGCTGAGATATTTAGTAAACTTCCTAATGTGCTTATTGACAGGAGATACTGCACATGGTGGAAAGTTGGTGTAGTCTGAGAACTTAGTGAGACATTGAAAGTAATAGATTTAAGTCGGTTTTCTGAAAATTTAAACAATAATTGCTTAATAGCGCACATGAAATTTAGTCAAATTAGGGGACATTTTGACTACAGTTTCTTATTTAACATCTGATTTCACAGAATTCAAGTTCAAAGTCAAATTCAAAGGCCAGTTAAACAGCTGCCGGATCACATTCCCCAATGAAGCTTTCGAGACTGTGCTCTGTGAGGTCAATTCACATTTTGCCCCACTATCCCCAGGTGAACTCTCCTGTTACACTTCCTAGCACACACTCAACCTGCAGCACACAAGCACAATGCAAGTCATCTGCGATTCATCAATACCATTTGAAAACATAAAACTAGGTTTTCATGAGTAATTCCATCCTGTCTTAATCAGAGGACTTTGATTGAGCTTTGATTCATAAGTGCACTCCTACAGGAAAGCCACATTTGGTGATTGTTTCCTAGCACCCTATTGCTCTCAGTACCTGAAGGGGAAGCGCTCACTGTATCAGCAGAGTGTTTTTAGCCAGCTGGATCAGCTCAGTGTCACCCTGCTCTCAATGACAGCTTGACATGCCTGGTATGTCACAGTATCTCATGAGCAACATGAGCATTGACCAACCAACAAATGAATTTGCTACATTTACTGAGTCGAACTGAGTCGGATGTTTATAATAGTAGGTTGAGATAGACTTACCGCAGTCTGTGTTTTGAAGAAGAAGGATCGTTCACACTGGTCCTGGCCGATTTGGTTGGGTTGGGAGGGTGGTTGGGTGTTTGGTGTCGGGATGGGTAGAGATGCAGAGAGGTGGTCCCCGCTCATGGACGCTGTGCGCTCCACCGTCTGAAGGGGGTTCCCGGTGCGAGGCTCCTTTTTGAAGCATGGCCGGCTTGGGGAGCAAAGACTTTTCTTTTACCTTATATGAGGCAAGGGGCAGGCTTACTATCAGAGCGGCACGTCAGGGAAAGCCTCCCGAGCTGCCTGATTGGCTGGTGTAAGAGCCCCCATGACCCCGAGCTGTGACCCGCGGTCTGTGAGGATGAGAAGAGACGGGGAGGGAGGGCTCAGGCTAGGGGGCCGGGCCTGCCGTCTCAGTCTAAGGAAGGCACGTTTGACAATTTTCATATTTCTTCTAAATTTGGAGATTTCTGCCTGTGCTGGAGTCTTGGCCGGCCTCTCTGAGAGTCCATGTGGAAACCATTAACAACAGAGGGCTCTTTGCCATTCCTGCCTGGGAACACACAGGCTCTGCGCAGACACAGTTATTTAAAATAATTAACTTCCTCTCAAAAGCACTGCGCTTCCCCATATGGGAAAGCATTTGCTTACAGAATGCTGGGAATCATATACAAGTCACAGTTAGAAAAGAGTTAGAGAGGGGGTAAGAAAAAAAGAGAGAAAGAGGTTTGTTTATTTTCCTCAAGGAGGCAGAATTGCAGTTGGGCTCAAAAACTGGGTCTTCACACAAAGACGTTGTGTGAAGACACACACAAGCCGCTCTGTTGGCGGCTGTTCAAACTGTAACCAGATAAAACGTCACAATAAATTTGGGCAAATCAGAATATCAAGCCAAAATTGTAACATTATGATTATATCACAGTGTAGAAATAAAAGCCAGAGCAAGTTGTCACATTTTTACTCTATTGATTATTATACACATCCTAAAGTCATAAAAACACTATTGGACATTTCAATGGTTATTGCCCAGAAAAAAAGACATTTAATACACCAGTGTGGGTTTATTATTTCCAAATACAAATTTCTTTACTGGCATCAATGGTTCCATTAAGAACTTTTTAACATCCATAGAACCTTTTCAATGCACAAAGGGTTCTTTATAGTGGAAAAAAAAGGTTCTTTAGATTATTGAAATGTTCTTCACATTAAGAAAAAACTGTTTTGTGAAAAGTTCTTTGGGGAACCAAAAATGGTTCTTCTATATCATCACTGAAAAACCCCCACCTTTAGAACTAAAACTATTTTGATATTTTAATTTTAGTTTGGAGGACAGAAATCATGTGTTATTTTTTAAATTCTAAATATCCTAGTTGTGAAGTAGATAGTTTGAAACCAACCACTGCTAGACTTTTGGCTCAAAACCTTCTGAGACGTAACCCTTGTGACAACTTTCCCGTGTGACATCTCGTCCCGGACTAAAAAAATATTTAGATGAAGCCGCTGTATGTTTTTGCTTTTATGACACAAAGATTAACGGCAGTGAAATGGTCATCTTCAGGATGATGGACACTGTGTGTAACAGGCCTAGGGAAAACTGTTATCTAATAATATAATATGGCTCTGGAGATCATCATTACACTGACCGCTGGCAACACAAACAGTTTGCTAATGAAATCACACACCCACATGGATAAACTGGAATCTGTGTGTTAATGATTAATCTATTAGTCAATTAGCGTTTTTCTGTGGAAGTCTTCAGATGGCCAGATTTGATATTCTTTTTAAGTGTGTTTTTGTATTTATTTAATTGTAATGTAATACTCAGTGTTGTCTTACATATGCTGACCCCTTTCTAATTCTGAGAATGTACATATAAGCAGCAGACCTTCACAAACCAGACATTCATTCACACCGCATCTCGGCATCAATGGACCAAGACATCTGCTGAGAGGAGAGATAAGAGCGATTATAAAGGAAAGCAAGACAAAGCCTTGACCTTGGGCCGTGCTCGCCGCCAGATGAATTTTCCTCCTGGACACGTCGAGCCACAGAGGTCAAAGAGGCAGATTGGATATGGCTAAACAGAGAGCGAGGGGGTGGTGAGGTCTGTCTGTGAAATGTCCATCACGGTTAGATCCCCTTCTCGCCCTCGTCCATAAAGGAGCCTGCAAAAGACTAATGTTTAGAGGGGCTGTCTCCTCCAGACCCATGCTCTGGAAAGACTAAATTTAGACAGGAGTGAAGTGGAGAAGCGTGACAACACGGTGTCAGTGTGAGCCATTGTTCGGTGAGTCCTTCATTAGCTTCAGCGAGTGGCAGAAGAGGTCGCCCCCTAGCTCTCACCGAGAAGTCTTAAAAAGGCAATGTTTGGGGAAGATTCTCTGTTTACATCTGGAGAAACGGGGGCTTTTAAAAACAGCAGCCAACCCGTGCCTCGTGGCTTGGCAGCCCTGAGCGTTAATGGCCTGGCTGATGAGTTCTTTTCCTCCAAATAGAGAGCGTCATACTAGTGGAGCGTAGCAGTGTAATTTCCCTCTTTGCTAGATTTCTTTATTTTATGATATTTGAATAATGGCTCTGGATGCATGTCTGGGTTTTATTCTCTTTATGGTGTCAAAATGATAATGTATATAGCTGGAAAAAAAAAAAAAGTATTGCAGAAGCAAAGTCGTTTTGAATTGCAAAAATAATGTATGTGGTAAACAAAATGGAAAGAATTATAAAACTTTTTCTCGCCAAGAGATTTTTTGTCAGCAATTACTTTGCAATACCTATTTTTATGTCAATAAGTATATTTAAAAATATCAAATCTGGCCATCTGAAAACATTTATAGAAAAGCATAAAACAATGAAGAGTGTAGAACAATTACATAACATGCTTCTTTGTCTTTTGTGCAATTAAATACATTTTTTTTGCAACTAAATGCATCATTTGAACTCTATACCCATATGTTTTGCAACTGTTTTCTGCCACAGACTTTGAGCCCACACAGTACAGAACAGAACAACGTGTTTAGTTCTAGTGATAGATGACTCGTTGAGACTCGTACACAGCTCAGATATACAAAGATGAATACAATCTGCAAGACTGTTTACATGAATGTGTATTTTTGGGGGGCTTTTGCTTGGGTTAACAAACTGTGACGGACTGATTCTGAACTTTTAAGTTAACAATACAGGTAACATCTTGAAACCATTGCAAAAACGGGAAATTCTGAGACCAATTTTACAGTCCATTTCCATTAAAAATATCATACTGGTGTCTTTAATTAGTGGACCTTGCAAGAGGTTCAGCATGTGACTCATCACGAAACATTTGTTATATGAAATATAAAAGATTTCACAAAAGATTTCTATTTCAAATAAATGCTGTTCTTTTGATCCTTCTATTTATCAAAGAATCCTGAAAAAATGTAGCCCGGTCAATTGATTTCAACGGTGATAAGAAAATGTATCTTGAGCAATAAAATCAGAATATTAGAATGATTTCTAAAAGATCATGTGACACTGAAGACTGGAGTAATGATGCTGAAAATTCAACTTTGCCATCACAGGAATAAATTACAAATAGAAAACAGCTATTATTTCATAGTATTACTGTTTTTTTTACTGTATCTTTGATCAAATATATGCAGCCTTGGAGAGCAGAGACTTCTTTCTTTTTTTAACTTACAACTTTAAAGAAGGAATTTGAGCCATATTTATGGTCCATATAAATACAAGCATTTTCCCAGTATTGTAACACAGGCTAATACCACAAATGGTTAAAATGACTATATAAATGAATTAGAATTTTAAGATGATCCCTAAGTAATTACAAAAGGCAGTGAGATTTCAGCCTTGATATCATAATATGTACATTTATTTTTGTATCCTTGGTGTCTTTAATTAGTGGACCTTGCAAGAGGTTCAGCATGTGACTCATCACGAAACATTTGTTATATGAAATATAAAAGATTTCACAAAAGATTTCTATTTCAAATAAATGCTGTTCTTTTGATCCTTCTATTTATCAAAGAATCCTGAAAAAATGTAGCCCGGTCAATTGATTTCAACGGTGATAAGAAAATGTATCTTGAGCAATAAAATCAGAATATTAGAATGATTTCTAAAAGATCATGTGACACTGAAGACTGGAGTAATGATGCTGAAAATTCAACTTTGCCATCACAGGAATAAATTACAAATAGAAAACAGCTATTATTTCATAGTATTACTGTTTTTTTTACTGTATCTTTGATCAAATATATGCAGCCTTGGAGAGCAGAGACTTCTTTCTTTTTTTAACTTACAACTTTAAAGAAGGAATTTGAGCCATATTTATGGTCCATATAAATACAAGCATTTTCCCAGTATTGTAACACAGGCTAATACCACAAATGGTTAAAATGACTATATAAATGAATTAGAATTTTAAGATGATCCCTAAGTAATTACAAAAGGCAGTGAGATTTCAGTGGCAAGCAACTCAATCACGTTTCTCCAAAAGCATCCTTTTATCAGGAGAGATGGCACAGAGACCTCTGCAAACATAAAAAACTCAGCTGGGTCAGACGAACCACTCTGCAGAGGATACGGCAGGTCATTGACTCAAAATAGATAAAGAGGACAAGCCTTGATATCATAATATGTACATTTATTTTTGTATCCTCTGATGCTTGCATTGCGATTTATGAAAGCTAGTGCATTAGCAGTGACCCAGAAATAACAAAAAGGGCATTGAAGAGCATCACAGGAAAATAAAAATATTCCATTTGCCAATAATTTAAAGAAAGTTACTTACTGTGACTGGCTTATGGACATTTCTATCAAGTCCATTAACCTTCCTTAAGTCAAGCTAAATGTTATAAATGCATGTTTATCACATAAGAGTCATATCCCGTCGCTGTCCTCTGAATGACCTCTCTGTACGGCAGGAATACCTTGCAGTAGATCACCGTTCCTTGGCCATACTCATATGACAGTCATTGGATTATCTCTACACGCTCAAGATTCATTTGCTTTACCTTCACATGCCCTGAAGGAAGAGAGCCAGCCAAGGTGTCTAATTTAACTGGCCTGTCACATCTGGTTGTACTTACGTCCACCAGAGCAGGTTCAGCACATCCTTTAGCACATAGCCAGGGAGGTAAATGACAAAAGCCATGCGCGCACACATGGCAGGATGTATCAGCAATGGGAGAACAATAGATTCCCAGTGCCTGACAGCTGGAGCTGTGCTCTGTGTTTGATGGAGACCAGTGGGGTGTTCTCATTTTTTACATGTATTCCTGCAGCACTGTTTACACTACATCTGACACCACTGGATCTTACGGGTTTCTTTGTACAGTGGATTCAAAAGTCTAAAAAAAAGTCTGTGAAAATACATTTATTTGCACTGAAGCAGCATATTAAAGGGATAGTTCACCCCAAAATGAAAATTCTGTCATTAATTACTCACCCTCATGTTGTTCCAAAGCTGTAAGACCTTTGTTCATCATTGGAACACAAATTACGATATGTTTGATGAAATCCGAGGGCTTTTTGACCCTGCATAGACAGCAATGGAACTACCACGTTCAAGGCCTAGAAAGGTAGGACATCATTAAAATAGTCCATGTGACATCAGTGCTTCAAGCGCAATGTTATGAAGCTACGAGAATACTTTTTGTGAACATGCATCAAAGACTGACATGGAAGAGAAGAAATTGTTGAATAAAATTGATATTTTTGTTTTCTTTGCGCACAAAAAGTATTCTCGTAGCTTCATAACATTACGGTTGAACCCTTACGGGTTTCTTTGTACAGTGGATTCAAAAGTCTAAAAAAAAGTCTGTGAAAATACATTTATTTGCACTGAAGCAGCATATTAAAGGGATAGTTCACCCCAAAATGAAAATTCTGTCATTAATTACTCACCCTCATGTTGTTCCAAAGCTGTAAGACCTTTGTTCATCATTGGAACACAAATTACGATATGTTTGATGAAATCCGAGGGCTTTTTGACCCTGCATAGACAGCAATGGAACTACCACGTTCAAGGCCTAGAAAGGTAGGACATCATTAAAATAGTCCATGTGACATCAGTGCTTCAAGCGCAATGTTATGAAGCTACGAGAATACTTTTTGTGAACATGCATCAAAGACTGACATGGAAGAGAAGAAATTGTTGAATAAAATTGATATTTTTGTTTTCTTTGCGCACAAAAAGTATTCTCGTAGCTTCATAACATTACGGTTGAACCATTGATGTCACATGGACTATTTTAACGATGTCCTTACTACCTTTCCGTTGTCAGTTCCGTTGCTGTCTATGCAGGGTCAGAAAGCATTTGGATTTCATAAAAAATATCTCAATATCTTAATTTGTGTTATAATGATGAACAAAGGTCTTACAGGTTTGGAACAACATGAGGGTGAGTAATTAATGACAGAATTTTCATTTTTGGGGGGACTATCCTTTTAAGTAACGTGACCTACTGTAAAATGACCTACTTTTTACAAATATTTTTTTTAATGCAATTTTATTAACCCTTAAATGCATACCTCGGGTCTTTAGCGACCCGGGACATCATTCTCTACCCTCTCCCTCCTTCATATTTTTTTAAGTTAGACAAACTTTCTTAGTATTCCTCAATCTATTAATTATAAACAATATAACAAGAAGAAAATAGTAAAATATAAAAGAATGCCTGTTTTCTGATTA